TTTTTTTTTTTTTTCGTTTTTTGTTATAGTTTGCGCCCCGGAAAAGAAAAATAACAACAATATAATAGAATAGAAAAATTGCTTTGCATTAAAAAAAAAAAAAAAATAAAACGCCATTTTCACATATACATATAAACTCCATCATTACTCAATTTACACAATTCGATATAAAATATTGAAAAATACCATTAAACCACAAAAAAAAAAAAAAATTATTGCGTTCACAGTATATTTGCTTAATACGGTAGTCATATAAAGGAGAAGCAGTGCAAGAGAACATATTTTTATTGCACAAATGCTTTAATTTGCTTTTGTTCCCTTTATCGTCGATATTCTGTTCTGAGTAATATATGACGTTTTTTACACTTACAACATAAGAAGATGTAGAGGGAACTGAAAGACTTGATCCTGACCCACCACGTACAGGGAAAACGCAGTGCTATTGTGTTATACATGTGTGTATATATATATATATATATAGATTATCATTATTGTTGTTGTGTTATATTGTTATATTGTATGTGATTTTTGAATATATTTTATAATATTTTTATTTATTTATTTATTTTTTTTGTTTATTTATTTTTTTTTTTTTATTGTTAAGAAAGGAAACGGAAATAAGAACAGAATATTAAATTTGCGTTTTTTTTTTTTTTCTTTTTCTTTCTACTGATTTCAATTTTCAAATATAACATGATACTACTACTAAACAATAAAGATATAAATAATAGTTAGTCGGCCTGTCACTTTTTCAGCAATTTAATAAATTACAGAAAAATTAAAGAGAACAACAAACAAAAAAATTAAAAATAATTAATAGTAAAATTAAAAATAATGCAATATTCTTAACCGAAATCATCTCTGGCCATTTGAAGGAAAACATTGCTCGAATATATTATATATTGAATTATGATGTAATGCAATGCAAATAAAAAATTTGATCAGCTCGATGCCTTAAGTAAAAAACATGGATCTGAGGGATCATTGAGTGCGTGAAATGAAGAACCCAATTTTTCAATTGTCATTTTCTCCAAATTTTTCGTATTTCGCGTATATCGGTTTAATGCAAGTTTTTTTTGAAAATTGTATGCGAATTTTAATAAATATTGTAATACTGCGAGCAAAAAGTACGACGAATATTCAAATTAAATTGCGCGAGTATATCAAATATAAGAATTATTTATACTCTACATCAGTTGTGGTACTTGTGGGTATATTAAGTTTATGTGTATATATGTAACACGCAGAAGGGCTTAAGGTAGACCCACCTTTTATTATACCGCTCGATTCAGAATCAGCCTGTCTATTCGTTCGTCTGATGGCTGTCTATGTCAATTTGTGTTCACGCTATTGGTCGCAACTTGAAATTTGCTACAACGATCGCTTTTATGAATTTTTTCGGATCGAAGCACTTTTTCGATCATTCCCCTTACAATGAATGAATTAATTAATTTGAAAAGCCAGTATATGCCGCAAATTTGTAATAGTATTTGAATATTCTAAATTGGTATGAAAAATTTCGTTCGGCTTGGGAAATTTTCTTTGATCCTATCTAATATAACCGTTCCTGCGAAATCCAATTTTTATATGATAAAAAGTTAAAATTTTTAATATTTCATTGTGTGACAATTAATTTGTAATAGCAATCCAATTTGGAACATGTAGTTTTATTCTTTAATAGACTACCGCATCGCATATAAGAGTAGGCGGTCTTCCCATGAAAAGTATGCCTTTGCATAAAAGTAATGTGTCACTTTTGTTGTATGATTGACAAAACGAATGAATATTTATTATTAGGTGAGTTAGTGTAGGTTATCTAATTGCAGACCTTACCCGACTATAATGTTCTTATTTGTTTGTTATTGTTTTCTCAATTGATAGCACTACGACAGACATTTGTGTCAAATTTGAGATCATAAACATTGTCAGTGTTTCAGTTGCGGCGAATATTTAATGTTTTCTAGCTACCAGGACGTCATGAAAAGCATTATTATAGGAGATGCGACTTAGATTTATGCATACGACTCAAAAAGAGCCGATCAGTCGAGTCACGAATATCGTACAAAAGTTGAGTCAAGACCGAAGAAACTGCTTCAAAGTGTAAACAGTTTTCTTCGATTATCATCGTATTACGCCCAAGGAGTTCTAAACTGTTATTTAAGTTTGAGCATCACTTGGACGAAATAGATTGGGAAAAATAAATAGAGACTTGAAAGGGAAACAATTAAATTGGTCTTACTTTTTGCACACAGTAATATTTCAGAGAACACTTTAATTACTTAAATATAATGTCAGTCAATATATTCCGGACTGAAGGTGTAAATAATATTGCTAGATATAATTGATGAAAATTTAAGCGATTCATTGTTTCTGGAAAAATGTTTGCCTAAAAAACTAATTTATGAGATATATGCTGAAAGCGGTTCAAATGGAAAACATAAAGAACATCCTGGCTATCAAAAAGTGTTATTATCAAGGAAACCGTTCCTAAGATGACAGGTACGCTAAATGAAGGGCCAACAATTGATATGAAATAATTTAGATAAACTTATCGACATATTATTAAATGAAGATGTTAAGCAAAGTTTTGAGTCGCGAAAAATCTATTCACAAAATGTGTGTCGGCCCCTTTTGGAAATTTGCATCTTTTTGCGACTTTCTTAACACTGGAAAGACGATTTACAAGGAATACATTGGATTTTCGATTCATAAAACTTGCGCTAATATAATATTGGTTCAATAATGATAGAGCGCATAGTGTACTGAGTCCGAATTTGTAGATTCTACACGATCAACGTGGTCAAAATCATTCGACAAAGTTTATGGTAACCATCTCTCTTCGGAATGCAAGCGAAGTTTTCTTAATTAAATACATGGTAGCCAGTTAAAAAATAAAAAGAATAATAGAAGAATATTGTTGTAAACTTTTGGGTGAATTCAATTCAAATAAGTGAGAAAATTATATTCGGTTGTGACCGAATCTTTTATATCCATCAGCGTGATCCCAAAAAAAAAGAAAAATTAAACGAAATTTTCACATTCTACAATATTGAATGAGCGCGGGTGACTTCTCTTTATTTTTAGAATAAAAATGAAAATTTTGTATGGTGTATACGTTGCACATATCGGGTGAGCGTGCCTGATTTTTTCTCTTTTCAGAATAAAAGTGGAAAATTTGTATGGTGTATGTGTTACACTTTATAAGTAACGAGCAACAAGCACGGAAAGCAAAGTTGCTCCCAGCTTTTCTTTCGCATGGCCGTGAGGGCGTATAGGCGATATCTTCACTTGTAAGAACGGGAGAATGTTTCCCGCAGAGATAGGTGTATAGGGACCGCATAAACGCATATAAACAGATTTGAATGTACTACACAGTTGAACAGACGGACAGATGGACAGACGAAAAAGCGGACATGTCTAGGTATATGCCAAATTTAAAAGTGGACAAGACTTTATATAATTTAGTGAGTTTTTAAAGCTCGCTTCTCTACGTTATAATGGCATGAAAAACGAAATTAAATTGTGTTACACTGTAATATTGAGTACGCGTGGCGAATGCTTTCTATTTGTGTACTCAAGGCACTCGAGGTGCTACTGGTTTTGAAAACCAGAGGGGTTCTTAGTTTACGTGGTACTATAGTCGTGTCCTCTGACCGATTTGGTGCATTTTGAATACCACTTCGGGTGCAAGAACTTGCAATGTTTTTGCCGAATTTGAAAAGGACAGCTTCAGTTTTGGAGCCAAGAAAATGTTACGATAAACATTATATATATGGACAGACGGGCAAGTTTAAATCCATTCAAAATATGATGCGAATGAAGAATGAATATATTTCGTGTGGTCTCTGACGCTTCCTTTTGGGCGTTTCAAACGTAATGACAAAGTGAATACTTCGTCAATGGGTGTAAAAATCGTAAGAAAAGACTCAAATTGCAGTAAAAAGCAATCATCGTTAATCAGGCTATGATGAGATGATATTCTGATATGTTTACCATTCGATTCGCGTCCATCTGGCTTCCACGCGATTCCCAAAAATTTTAATCACCTGACGTAATAATAACAGCCGTTGAGGAGTAGTTTGAGTAACTTTCGGAAAATCATTTCAGTATTGGGATACATGAACTGCGGAATGAATCTCTGGGAAAAGTGTATTGAACGTAATGAAGGTTGCACGCACTATGTAAATAATATCAAAGCAATTTCAATTAAATCGAGAAGTACATTGATCACTTAGCGCAAAGCTTGCAAAGTTAGTAAAATTCGCATTTTCCTTGTGACGGTTTTCATGAAAGCACTCTACCGGATATTATCTATGTAACGCTTTCTTTGTTTTTTGTTTTTTGTTTTTTTAAGGCTTCTGAGCGTGTGTAACCTCTAATATCATCCTCTCTATCTATCAATATCATATATATTTGTTTTAGAGAAGAAATTTAGTAACTGAAGAAAAGTCTCCTGATAATCATTTCATGGTTTAAAGAGCAAATTGCGGTTTTCAAACCCAAAACTAGAACCTAAACGAGACAATACTTCCTAGTAATGTTTAATCACCTTTTTTTTGGTCTTTAATAAATGCGGTTTGGCTAGGCTTGTACAGCAGCACGAACAGCAGCAGCAGCAATGAGACAGTTTTTACTGTTTAACTATGAAAGATACCTCTGTATAGCGCTATTTCGTATTTTCTTCTCTCATTTCAATCCCTGACTACAAGATGGGAACAATTATTCTGCGAAAAGTTGATTTTACCAAATGTCGCTTCGCTGACGTTTCGTTAAGAATACATGGATTTTTAGATTTTTAATATGGTATTTTTCCATATGTTCGCCTTATGTGTTTACGTGTTTTCTACGAAAGAACGCAACATAGAAGCGATTCAAAATATCCTAATACATACTAAACAATGAAACACTTGCTACATACATAATCGTATTTTCTGAAAATTTTAGTTCTATAGAAAATGTACTATGGTTTTTTTAAAGCAACAAGCATTTGTTCTAGATTTCATTATGAACAAAAATTGCTTAATCAAATTTATCGAAAGAGAATTTCTACTCGCAATTACGCGATACGGGACAACATTGCGTAGCAAATAAAAATTGTTTTATAAATTTGATCAAACAATAAATAATGTAACTTAATTTCTAAGTCTCTCTAAGGGACAGGATTTTTTTTTTCAAATCTTCATAAAAATATTTCATACAAGTTTTCCTATTTTTCTTCTTTTTAAAACTTAATTGATTATTAAAAAAAAAAAAAAAGATAAAAATAAATTATAAAAATATAAATTACCCGGCAAATGAAAATTGATTAAATACTTTTTCAAATATCTATTAACGATTTTAAATGGTATGAGAATTGCATGTACAGTACAGATGAATAAGATGAAGTATAATAGAATTAATGGGAAACAGCGTGGCTCTAACTAGAATTAACTATAGAAAACAACAATCGCGTTAAATAATAAATAAATAAAAAATATATATATGTATATAAAAAAGGAAAAAAAAGAAAATTAAATAAAAATGAAAGATAAAAAAAAAGAAAACAAATAAATAAAAGCATAATAAATACCGTAGGCAACTTACAGTGGGTGGTGATAAATTGATTGTTGAGCCGCGTCTTTCTTGTGGCCCAATGCTGGAGTGACGACGTGTAGGTAAACCACTGCCAGGCGTGCCACCTGGTGATGAGGCACACGATGGTGCAATGCGTATTTTTGGTGTCATCAAAGTATTGTCCGATAACCGTCGATTGGGAAATGCATTGGCCACGCGCAAAAAATTACTATCAGGAGACGCTGGACCTCCAAACCACCATCCACCTAACATACCAGAACCTATGAAAAGGCAAAATTGCATTGAATTTTTATTAATAACAAATAAATACTGAAAATAGTTAAATGCTGCAAATAAATATTTTTTTTTGTTCGTTGAAAAATACCTTTTGCGTAATGAAGAAAAAAATGCGTATCATGTGCAGAACTATAGCTGGTGAATTAATTTTATTGAATTATTTGTATATTACATTTAATGCCTTCTATTATGAAGAAGCATTTATAGGAATGATGAGAAATAATTTTAACACTAGAATTTTAACAGACGTAAATCCGTCTATCTAACCCGTAAATATTGTCAAATACGTAAAAATGAAGATGAAAACTTCAGATGAACTGAAATTTAGCATAAGTCAAATCTATCGATCGATTAAGAAGACGAGATTGAAAAATATTTGCGATCTATTCACAGACACGCCCACACATAATGCAAAAGAAACTAAAACAATTTAGGCAAACACCGACATCTCTTTCATATTTTCGTCTGGAATTTTCGATTCCATAGAGATATTTTGGAACTTAAATGTTCATTCGGATCACTTTCATTTTTAGTCTAAAAATGATTTCAATGCGCTTGGTTTTGGCGGATATTTGGCTAACTGTTGTCCAGGAATATATCTACGGGATTAAAAGCTGTAGGCAAAAATTACAAAAAAAAAAAACATGTCGATGCTTTCTGAGATTGTTATAGCTTCTTCGGCATATGTGAAGAAATCGTATTTATATTTAGACCTCGTATTCGCACTGAACATGCACGTGGTTCGGGCGAACATTTGCTTAGCAGCTGTTCAGAAATATAGCTACGCTGTAAGCTGTAAGCAAAAATTCCAAAAAAAAAAGAAAAAAAGTCGATGCTTTCTTCGACTGTTTTAGCTTCTTCTGCATTGAGGGTGGGGGTATATGTGAACAAATCGCGCCCATTTGTCGATCTCGTATTCTTATGCCAAATTTTAGCTTCTTAAGCCTGTTTTTGCAACTGTAACGGTTTAACAAAATTTATCCGCCACATGCAACATAACATTTGCATGAAAATGGAAAATTGGTAGGTCAGCAAAAACGAAAAAACTAATATTAACCGTAACGTAAATCTAGGGGCAATTAGAAGAGTTTCGAACTATAGCCTTCGAAAAGTTGCGTTCAGGTCGATTGTTTGCGGTTATGCAATAATGGAAAAAGTATAATTTTTTTGGAGAAATCAATCGATTACAATTTGAAGATTTTTAAACATAAAAATCGAAAGTATTTTTCGAATCTAATTGACTTTAACGGACATAGCTGTTTTGCGGAAAGCGAAAAAGTCTTCTGCTTCTCGCCATAGTGTTTCTAAAGCATGAAAATTACTTTTAGTAGAATTTTTTTGGAAAAATGCTTTTAGCCGAAGACTATTTATTGATTGTAGTTTGAATTATTTTCACGAAAACAAAATGTTCGGACATTGACTCGCTTCTATTCGCAACGACGAAACAATTAAGCACATTAGACTGTGAGGATTCTTAAGATTGACGATGCGATTGTTTTGCTTTTTATTTATTTTATTAGTTTCATCTATCAAAGTAAGATATTTTTAATCAATTAGAATACTTAACTATAGTTTTTATTTTGATTTCAGATTGACAAAATTCTCGGGCAAATTGTAATTTGTGCCTTGTAGGGTTTAAGAAGTAATTTGCAAAAATTAAAAATGAAGCTTCAGCATAATTATGGATGCATTCTATGTGGCAAGGCTGGTTTCGTGTGCATACGGTCTTACAAAGTATTTAATTAATATTAATTGTTGGCATAAATGCATGGCTAAATATGCAATAACACATCCTGCTGCGGAGTTTAAGTTTATAAAGCTGTTTTTCACTTAAGCCCCATACACATGCGGAACTTAAGTTTGTAAAGGTGATTTTAGATAAGCAAGCTTAAAGGCTTAAGGCGACCTTGGCTTTTTAGATTTTATTTTCTCTTACTCTTCTATTTTCTTGCTTTCTATTTAATTTGCTTTTGTGCCGAACTGGAAATTGCCAATCGATATTTTAAATACTTTTGTTATTTCAATTATGCTTAAATTTTGCAATACACTTTTTGTTACGATGACAATACAATGCAATGCAAGAAATATTTCTCTGTATTCAAAATGACGGCCGTCATGAAAATGCGGATTAACTTTTCTTTCCTTTTTTTTTTTTTTTTTTTTTTTTTTTTCAATAATTCCCTTGATATTGATATCAGGAGAAGAACTTGAAGGCAAGAAAAAGTGAAATTTAATAGACTAAGATAAAAAAAAAAAAAATTTTTTTTTTTTAAAGTAAGCATTTTGCGAATGTATACATAAAGAGAATGTAGAAAATATATATGTATATACTTTTTTTGCGGGATTTAGAGAAAGAACAACAAAATGTTTTAAACACTAAAACTTTAATGTGGGAAAAAAAGTGTATGTTTCACCTTTTAATGTATTAAAATGCAAGCTTGTTATGCTTAAGATCAAAGGACGAAGGAAGGTAGACAACACTTAGAAGGAAGCTTCAGATTCTGATTAGCGTCAAACTCTGAATGGATTTGAACAAGGATGTCCGTCCGTCCGTTTGTGTAATTTCCATTGCAGGCATTGTCTTGGTTGCAAAAATAAAGCTATCGGCCTCAAAGTCAGAAGTGGCTGAACACAGATATGTATTGAAAATAAGCGAAATCGATTAGAGAATGCACACAGCACACCGGTTGTAATAATGAAAAAGGGCACATGTTACTTTAGTGGATATTACTCATAAATTGTAACAATAAATATTTGCGTATTCTAGGTTAGTATTAAAATGGTGGGTGAACAAGATTCGGCTATAGTCAAATATAATTTTCTTACTTATTTCAATTGTGACACAAGGTTACATCGAGTTATTGCGGATCTATGCAACACCCACAAAGACATGATGTACATGTATATATATATATATATATATGTATAGACCAATATGATATAGACCAATATGATATAGACCAATGTACCTATATATACATATATATAATAGCCATAACTTGTCAACTCATCAATCAAGGATTTTATCTCAATTTCATGCTACTCATTATATATTTTTGCTAATCAAGTCAATCTACTCCGGCATTCGTTAATAGATTACGTGTGAGAAATAATGATGTTATGTGCACAACACTTTGTTTATTACCTCCCGAATTCTTTCTGGCCATGTCTTCTGCACTCGATGTTTTACGCTGATCAATGCGTAAATTCGGTATGTTAAATGGCGGTATAGCGTTCATGTTATCTGTTGAAAATTGATGCCTTAAAGAACGATGGCGTTCTGGTGAGGGTATTGAGAGATTATCTAATTTCAAGCGATTGCGTTGATGACGGTCGATATGCTCGAGTAGATTGTGTATAATCTGCAATTGATATAATAGGATGGACTTTTTTTTTTCTTTCATATATACAACACGCGTAACCGCTCTCATTCACCAAATTTACACAATCAAGCAATGGAAGTATGGTTGAAATACAAACCTCGATCAATTGACAGTATTGTTCGTAATTTAAGTTTGGATTTACAGTGTGCGGCAACAACAATGGCAAAATGTTAATAGCTACGGCCTCCACAGTTACACCATAGACTTTATCCGTGAACAATTTATTATAGATACCTGTTCGAAAATATACAAATTGTCAAATAAGTCTAACGGTCAGTGATAGATGCCAACGTCAATGCATGCACTCCTTATACGGTAAATATAAGCTGACTTTCACAAGTTGGATGAATTTTTTATTTATTTACTTTTTTTTTTTTACTTACGCACTGTACGCATAATAATATCAGGTTCCGGTATATGAACGTCACCAAGTATCACTAAAAGTTCATCCGTTACCTGAACATGTATGCAGGCGTGCATCATCATCAATTTATCATCATATATCAACATCAAAATAACGATGATGAAGATAAGGAAGGAAGAAATCAACGTGAACGTAAACGTAAAAGGAAGAATATAAAGCAAGCGATAAATAGATGATTTTGTTCAAAGGATGCTTGATTCTCCTCTTATATACGCTTATTTTGTTGCTATTACTATAAAATATAATTTAATTTTTAATTTACCTGCGGTTTTTCAAATTTATCCATTGTTCGTTCAATGCAAACGAGTACATTTTGCACAATCTTTGGATCGGTTAGATTTCTTTCAAACACCGATTTCACTTTAGGTAATACCATGCGTCTAATCGATAATTCATCTATTTTATCGTAGACGTTGGTTATCGCCACAACTGCTGCATTCTATTTATCGCATCCATGCATATAAAATGTAATTAATTAACAAGAAAGAAAAACTTGATAGAGAAAATCTCAATTAATAGCATGTAAAAAATGTACACTTTTTACGCAATAAGCTTTCCATGCACATCTGCGTCGCGAATACTTGTACAGGGCATGTTAGTAAATTGAATGAAATTATTTCTATATATAAGTCTCCTTTCAGGTTGTCGCAAGTTCTTAAAAGTAGACTTTCACGATTTTGTTAACGACAATTATTTGTTCTTTATGGGTTCAATTTGTGATAAGACTAACAGGGAGCGTCTATGTAATTCACGACTAATATATGTGAGCGTATATAAATCATATTACTTAATAAGCCTCGTCCCTGACACAGCTACACAAATTCTGGTAAATATTAATCTTTAAAGAATACCTGCCGAAAGTTAATGACTTTTTGACCATTAGTTCACAAATTACGGTTGTTCTGCTGACAAAACTTTTGTAATTTTCATAACAATGAGGGAAAATCTGAATCTGAATATCGTGCGTTGCGTTGAAACCGTTGCGTTTTTGATGAGAAAAAAAAAACACGTTCATAAACTGTGATTAATTTGCTCATTTCAAGCACAAATTGTATGTACACCGATAACGTTGAATGCTCTCGTCGAGCGTATTCGACAGGTGTTAGAAAGAACCACAAAAAAAAAGTGCGCAAAGTCGTTTTGATAGAGCGAAAAGCTAAAAAATATCAAAAGGCAATGTATTCGCTATGTTGCATGAACAATTGCCGATGTGAAAGATCTGATCGAAATGGGCGCTGCGTTCGCTCACTTTTCACAACAACTCAAAACTCTGATGCCGTAGAGCGTTGTTTGCCCTCGTTTAGGATGTAATATGGGACAAATGGATGAAACATGAATTGATGATTACACTTCGCAGTCAAATCGGCAGTCGGCCGAGTGGATAGTAAACGACGCAGGCCGTCCAAAGCGACCGAAAAAGTAATGTCTCCAAAACAACAACAAGTACTGCAGATACAAGTGCTCAAAATTTTACTACATTTTGCCATATATCGTTTGAAAATTGGTTTCTATCCAGAAATCAATTGGATCCGTCAACAATGATGGCATATATGTGTTAGACCGAAGACTTATTGGATAAGGTGATATATTGCATAAGTAAGTTTGCGTATTCTTCTTATAATTTAGGTGAACTTTATTATATAATAATTCGGCATTTTAATCGATAATCTTTGGCGATTTGACTTTGACTATTTTTGCGATCGTTATAGGACTTTTGCAACTTCTTCCCGAAGAAGAAATGAAGGAAATGATTTTTGCACAACTCTTTTGAAGTCAGCTATGGTGAGCGGTATGGAGAGATACTATAGAGCTTCGAATTAAAATTTTTTGTTTTTTTTTTTTTTTTTTTTTACATAAAGATGAAGGGTGTAAAAGATTTCTTTGCAACCGAATAAGAAATTTTTTCTTGGTTTTAATTGCGTATGGAGGTGTTACCTCTTAAATGCTGTGTAGTAGGACGCGTAGTACTAAAATTACGCGGAATGTAAAGCTAGCTATTGGCGAAATGAACAATTTTCAAACTTTAATAGTCACCTAGCTTTTGTTTGTGTGCCTGTGTGTGTGGATCTGCTTGTTTTCGTTGTTTTGAATTACAAACCTGAACTTGTATAGTAGAGCTATCAAATGATGCAAACAACATTGGCATTATATCGGCATTAACGTCTTCTCGTTGTGTTTTCTCAATAATTAAATGTAAATTTTCCAAAAGAGTCACAGTTGCCTGTATAGATTTCGGTGAGCTTAATATGACTCTAGAAGAAATGTTGAAAAAATGAAGAAAACATTTTTTGTATTAACAAGCAATGCAAGCTCGTGTTAGCGATGGATAAATAAGATATGAAAGTGAACTAATTCCCCTTTATACATATATGCATAAACTATATTGTTATCGTGTTTCGTCTGTAAAAAGTTTTTATTGTTTTTTTTTCTCTTCTTATATAAAAATAACGGATGTTGTAATAATGAATAACAAAGTCTTCTTATGTTTTATTATTATTTTCATTTGATTCATGCGCTAAGTATAGTTCCCTCGTTTGACTTTCTTTCTTTCTTTCTTTCTTTCATTGCATTCTTCTCTTCTTGTTGTTGTCGTATAATTAAATCGTGAACTTACTTCATTGTCGGCGCCATTATAGTCTCGTATTCAGTATGAGTGGCTTCCTGTAGTAAAGTAATAACGGGTTGTAAAACTGCCGCAAGCACTTCACCATTGTTAATTTCCGCCTGCAACATCGGCCAGACATTTTGCCACCACAATTTCTGAAATGAAAAGAGCATTTTTGTACGGTTGTTTATGTGCGTGCATTTAGATGTAATGCATAAGCATACCCTTGCAATTGTTAGTAACGTACTCATTGCAAAAAGCACTACATATATATATGCACGTCACTGCCTGTCACTGATTTATGAGAAATTATATGAAAGTTGATTTAAAGCACAATCGAAACTAATCTATGCATTACGTGGTTGCGTTAATTTTGATTGTTTTTCTTTTCTTTTCGTTTTTTTTTTTTTTTTTTTTTGTTTTTTTACTTGAGAAAGGCATTTATTGAAAAAAATTGATGCAATATATCATTATCTACAACTTGGACCACCTTTCTAGCAACATTTAGAAATGGCATTTTCTATCTATTCGTATGGTAGCTATTTTCCCATCACATGTAAACGTGTAGATAGAGTTGATTCATCAAATGCCAAGTTGTTCAAAAGTTCTTCCAGAGTTTGAGCTGAGTTTCCATCCAATACGTCTTCCAATTCAATGTCTCCTTGAACTTTTTTGATCCTCCAGGCCGTTTCTTGTCATCAAGATCATCAATTTTAAATCGTTAAAACCACAAGCGACAAATTGGGATAGAATGGAGCAGCATCACACATATCACTCACGCTTCTAAAAGTTTTCGATGAACTTTCACTGCAGATCTCTTCAAAGCAAACAACTAAAGTAATGAATGTCGAAAATGCAATTTTGATCGTTGCATAATTAGCGTCCGTATACACAGAATATCTATCTCAACAATACCAAAATGAAAAATGTTAGTTTATGTGGCGAAAGGTCATAATCATCGAATTTAATCGTTATATACAATGGTATTTTTCATTTCTTTTTATAAGTTTTACCTCTAGAAATTGCCTATCAAAATTAATGCAACCATCTAACATAATGAGAAATCAATTTAATAAATTATGTTCCCCGCTTTTATGAAAAGAAAGAAAGGAAAAAACGGAACACATATATAATAAAATGTTTGTTATGTTTTCTAATTATATATTGTATAGGACATGGGCGAGGGCAGGTTGGCGCACATGATGCATATGCAGCTTAGTATAATCTTTTAATTATTTACATACCCTGGGTATTAGTGGCATAGTCTCCATTAACGTGACTTTATAGAAATGAGATTTTTGTGAAGTGTCTTTCATGTTAACCACATCTAAAAATTTTAAAGCATTCACTGCTGGATCACTGTAATAAAAATGATTAAACATTTATTTATGTAGTAACAGCTTCGTCTGCTAGTTAAGTGTGGGTTTAATAATAATTTTTAATTTCTTTTCGATATGAACTGAGAATATTCACGCTTTGTTTCACATGATGGCGTCTGAAATGCGACATTTAACTTACTGTTTAACTTTGCTATCAATTAATCCGAATAAGAAAACAAGTAAGCCGACCGAATAAATACCCTATACCACATTGTCTAACATAGTTTTGATTATCATTATAGAACACAAAAATGATATCTTGTTCCAATATAAGGGCATATTTTTCAAGTACTTGTCTATGAGGAAGTCCATAGTTTTCATAATAATTTAGAATGCCGAAATACTACTATTTAGCCACTTTTGCCGAGAAATTTTGAAAACTGCAATTTTTTTCCATATAACGACTTTTTAGAATAGGACTTTATATGGAGAGTGGTCGAAAAAGTTGACCGATTCGAACCATTTTCAACAGTGTTCGGTTTTGGGCCAAAACACGTTACTGTACCGAATTTCATACGAATATTTCAAAAATTGCGATCTGTAGCTTGAACACAAATTACATGAACACACATCAGACGGACAGGCGGACACACAGGCTTAGAAATATTTTCTAGATCGATCGGTATAATAAAAGATGAGTCTATCTTAAACCCTTCTGCGTGTTACATACATCCGCACTAACTTAATGTACCCTGTACCACATATGGTGTACGATACAATTGTAAGCAAATAGTTTTATATAAAGGGAAAGTTATATGTTCAAAATGTATATATATTCTTGATCAGCATCAAATTCTGAATCGATTTAAGCATATCCGTCTGTCCATCTCTTCCTCTGCCTCTTTTCTCCGTCTGGCGATCTGTCCGTCTGCGTAAGTGTGTTGTCAATATTCTTCTTGCCGCAAAAATGAAGTTATCAACGTCAAATTTGTCGGAAGCAGTGGAAGTTCTTGCACGCAGATTGCTATTGAAAATAAGTAAAATCGGTTGAAGGACACGCCTACGTTACTACTTACAGTCAGAATACTTTTGTTTTCCAAAAGGAATACAAAATTAGTTTTTTGATTGCCCATAAACAATAGCCGATAAATATACAAAACTTTGAAAGCATATTCTATGGCGATGTTGTAATTACTGTCCAAAAATTGAAAAAATTGGCCACACCTTCCCAATATTATATTGTATCGAGAAAAAAACTTTTTTTAATACCTTTATAATAAGCAGAAACAAGCTTGGGAAACCCTCTAAGGTATATAAATTCTTGGTCAGGTTCAAATTTGGAATACACCTAAACATGTTCAGCTATTCGTCTGTCCATCTGCCCAAATGCGTATTAGCTGTGATAAATATTCTTCCGCTAGCAAAAATAAAGATATCGCCTACAAATTGACATACGAATTTGAAAGTGTACTATACCTTTCCAAGACACCTCTACAACGCCCACAATCCTAACAAAAACTTTTATTATGAAAATAGAAAAAAACAGCCACGCCACTGCCTATTATAGAGTATGAAAATTTGTTTTGTGTTTTTTAGTGTGACGGTGGTGGGTACAAAGGTTTCGGTCACGACCGAATATAATGTTCTTATTTGTTTTTAAACTGGTACATAGTAATTTGTATTGTGATAGTTTGAAATCAATGTTTGCTAAAAATTATAAATTCTATTTTTTGTATGTAAGCTCGGTTAAGGTTGAGGCAGATGAAGTTTAAATTTCAACCTGCGGTTGTCTATTAAGAGCACATGCGCTAATTGCAATTAATATCGTTAAGATGAACATAGCAAAATCGCCTCAGATTCTTAAGGTGTGCTGAAGAATATGTATATAAACAGTATTTTTATCGAGTCACTTATGAGCAGCAGTTGCGTATTTTGAACAATACAAGCAAAACTCAATACTCTATATTTCAGAAATATGTGAATGAATATAAGTTTGTTTCAGAGTTTTTTTACATTCAAGTCTGAGATCAAATTTAATGCTTTAAGTAAATTTTAAAGTCATGGTTATCGACTAAATCAAAAACTTGTCGATTTTTCCTATAGTTAGTTGAAATGTGAAAATAAAGGATTTAGTTTCAAGCGATCTCGCGTGAACTTTTATGGCGTCTTTGGCGTCCCATCTAGGCATCACAATAATCTGACGGCTATCGTCGTCATGGCAAGGAGTAATTTAAATTGAAAGAAATCGTTATTGTCACTTTAGGATAAAAAATTAAAAAAAGAAACTATTGCATACCGTTGGGAGGCACAATATTTCTTTGTTTATTGCTAGCCTTTCAAAGGCAAAGTTGCGAAATTTTATATTGAAATGCATTAGAATTCGCATAAGATTTTAAAATATAGTGAAAAAGGATTGAATCTGGTGACAATGAACATTGAAAGGCTTATTGACATTGCAACATTGCTAGGTGCATAGTCGTAATGCGAACAAAAAAGTGTGAAAAAAATGTCAAAATGGCTAAAACAAACACGACAAAAAAACAAAACCCATTATAGAATGGATACATTGTGAACATTTAATAGCTTTTATGCTAAGTAAAAAGAGACTATGTTAAGGAAATGTATTCAAAAATAGTAAAAAAAAGAAGGCTTAGCTTTCTCAGAAAATAACGGTGAAATACAGTTGGAATTTTTTTTTTCTTTTCATATATATTAAATAAATTCAAAAATATATCATTTTTCGCCATTTTTCTGGTGAAACTATTATTCTTGTCATCGCTGTAGGACTTGTACAATTCTCTGATCCAAAAAGTGAACAAAGCGGTTTTCACAGCTCTCTTCTAAAGTCAACTTTGCATCATTTAGTTAGAAGTTAAGCAAAGAGTTAAAAAGCAAACATCGAAAAAACGATGTTCGGATGAGGCAAAGTTCAGGCTACAAAGTGAATGCATCTAAACTGCTCAGTCAAGCTCTTTTAATTTTTGCTTGGGGGCGATGGAAAACCAAACCTTTTCAAATGATCAATTTTAGACGCATGATCACAGAAACTCGACTCGATCGTTTTTATTATTGGCAATAGAGATTGGAGTTAATCGTCTGGCGAGTTATAGCAGCCTATGATGCACGATACCCTTTCAATCCCATTCGTGGCCTCACCTATGCCGAACCAAAATCTTTCTCTCATATAACATGTAAGGCATTTTTGATCGCCCGTCATTTTGTTCCCTTCAAACATAATTCGACTTCGTTTCATTTCACCAGTGACTTGTTTATAGAAACCCGATCCATTTTCATCCCGAAAATTTTCATTATTAAATCACTATTTTAGCCTATATATTGAGTTTCTTTTTGGATCTAGTCTTGTTCATACGGTTCAGAGCTAACTTTGCTGATTGTTTAACACCCCAGCGAAAGAATCTTAGAATCTCAACGACATTATCAAAGCCTGCTTGATCGAAGTGCTACGCATGTTTATCATTGAAATTTTCGGAATTAAAAAGGGAAGAACCATTAATACGCTACTAATTGCGATATAGCATCTCAACCATAAATCGTTGATCGAAGTGAGATTGCAAACTATAGAGAATTTTTTCAGAATTTTCAGTCCATTTCCAATAAAAGTAACAAAGCCACTTTTTCCATGTTTTACAGCTGAGCTGAGCAGCTCCCAAGCTACTGGAAGGAACGCTAGCAATTGTTTACTTAACTCAATATACTACTTTATGTTTTCTTTTCTTTGTAGATAAATAAGGAATAAAACCGTTCTTTGGAAAACTGATGTGAATTGATTGTTTATTGCAGGGAGTGTTATAGCTAGCATTTATAAACTTCGAAAAAGTCACTATCAAGAAAGTAATGGAAAAAAAATAAAAAATGGTTCAATCGTAACAAAAAGAATGGGTTCGAATTTATTTATGGCCAAATAAATATATCTTATTCCATTAACAGCTATATAGAATTATTAGATCTGCGCTTTGTTAAGACCTAGGAGCCTTTTATGGCCTACGCGTGCATTTTATTTCTGTTGCACAATTCTGATGAGCGTAGCGTTGAACAGTTATTCGTCTATTTGACTATTGTGGAGGTTTTTCTTGCATGAAACTTATATATGGCTGGTGTCGAATCTCGTATACCCGTCATCATTAATATCTTTAACGCCCTTTGTTTTTGTTTATATTGTATTAAAAAAGTGAATGAGGTAAGATTTATCTTTCAGCTTTTACTTCACTAAAAGAACGATAAGAAAAATGAATCTACCACGCCGTGACGTCCATCATAAATAATTTAAAATTGACATACTTAGCTTTTCGCATGCCAATCTTCAAACCCTTTTATTTAAGACGGACTTGCATTCAGTTTACGCCGCACCGCGGAATTCTGCTCCGATTAATTTGACCAATTTTCAATACCAACCTGCGTGCCAAAAACTTCCAAGGCTTCTACCGAATTGTGAAGTCGATACCTTAATTTTTGCGGCCAGGAGAATGTTTATAACAAACATTACACAGGCGGATGGACGGACATGCTTAAATCGGTTTAGAATTTGGTACTGATCAAGAATACATGCGCTTTGTGGGTTCTCTGAAGTTTCCTTCTAGGCGTTGCAAATGTTTTGACAAACTGAATATACCCGTCATCCTTCGATGACGGATATAAAAATGTCCTTTTGCTCGTAGAATAAACAGCGTTGCAATTTTGGCAATCTTAACGTGTTCAACAATTAACAGACATTATGCTGACGAGGAAACAGACAAGCAGAGAGAACGAACATGGTTTGATCAATTCGAAATTGCAGGCTGATCAAGGATATATGTATATATATATATACTTGATAACGTCTACGAAAATTCTTTTTGGGTGTTACATACATTATGACACAAAACAAAAGGAGCATGCTTCAGTGGTGGATATAAAGGTAGCACTATAAACATACTGACATTAACTCGTTATAGCTATACTTTATTATTAACGCGTCGGACTGCGTCCGCATTTGGATTTGACGGAAATAGTCAAAAATTTAAATTGATGTCTTATCCTATATTCGGATTATTTTCTACGTTCAAACTAGAGTTTTGTACAGTATAAGTTCGTCCTTATGTAAACGTGATGACTACTCCGCATCCCACAAAGCAACGCTTTATTTTACTAATAGTGAAACGGTAAACTTAGATACTTATAATTATAGTATAGCTTGCCCTTGTATAACTGAGTAATATCTTTACGACATTTAAAATTCATTGCATAATTAACAGTTGTTTTTGCTTTTTATTCACATAGCGAGTCTGAAGATTTCCACTTATGATAAAGTACTCTTCACCTTTACTATATATTATATGTAATTAAAATGCTCGTACTTTAGATATGAATATCTTTAATTGTATATATGTGTGTATATGTGTGTATACATACTTACATGAAATATTTAATTAATTGCAACAATTGTGCTGTAGGTCTTGCCGTCGGTTCTTTGTTCACTAAGCGTGAGGTAGCCTCTTGCAGTGGTACAGGTACTCTAGGTAGCATCTTTTGAACATTCTCCTCTAACTGTGCATTTTGTTTTGTTTTAAGTATTTATGAGAAAGATATATATTTTATGATTAGAATTGAAATATATATGAATGAATGCGTTAGTTTTCGATTTTTTTTTTTCATACGTAATCCATTGAATTGGTGAATTGGAGAATTATAATCAATACTATGTCATATTAAGTTCATTGTTTGTTCGAATGTTTAAAATATCTGCGAATGACAAATAGATTGTATAACCAAATTGACGAGTATTTCACGTGTGGTCGAAAAAGCTAGTGAGACAACAATATGAAAGCGGAGCATGTACATTGTATACAATTCTGACAATGCCGTATAAGTGTTGCAAGTGAGTTTGCGGCTTTTGTAGATAAATAGCGTTACCGGCGCCTGCAGTAGAAATTCATGTTTCATTGTGGGACACTTTTACAGCTTTGGGCATCTGGTAACAATAAGTAATCGGAACGAGTGATGAATAATATCCAAAACCTGACCATAATAACAATGATTAAGCAAACTATTAACATCAATGATAAAACTGGCTATAATCTCTTATGGTTACTCTAATCCAATGAAGCCATGAGCATTCGAAGAGGTAAGAATCGCCCAGTCCTATCAAGTCAGCAGTCGTGGATTCACAATCATGGAATCGCAATGCGGTAGAGTTTATTTTGATGGTATCTATAGCCAGTGCTCAGTCGGTGAAGGTTTTATACTTGTTGATTTGGTACACATTCATTAGGCTGCGCGCATCATCTTCCTATTTTTTTCTTTTCTTCTCTTTGCTCGCGTTCCAGAGTGATATTAAACAGAAAAAATGACCACCGAACGCTGCCAGCAATAATTCATACGATTGAGATGAAAAACGAATGCAATATGTCGAACAATCTCATCTTCACTTATAATTTTTCCCGATGACTACATAACATAGTAGAGACTGGATATATATATACATAACATATATGCATAACTACAGTTCCGACTTCTTTTGTTCATTGAAAAAATGAAAATTTCAAGGCAAGTTCTAAAAAGTGTTTATTCAATACATATATATATATATATATATATATATATACATATATATATATGCTTTACTTTTCCTTTATATATGGATATTGTATATATTTAGAAAAATCCTTACTCTCTCTCACTTCTTTTTGATGTATTGTATGATATTGTATAGTGATAGTAAAGCCCATTAGCAACACTTCACCTAGTTATTGAATACATTTACATTACATTTACATTATCATATCGTATGCAGAAATCACTTGATAACAACCATAGACTTGAAGCATTAAAGTACATAAAAATTGATAACTAATTCACTTTTTCCATTTTAATGAAAACAATTGCTCTTAAAAATAATAAAATTAAAAATCCTCAAGTACGATATAGCTTTCAATAAGACTAATAGCCTTAGATGCTAGTCCTTTAGGGCTTCTATCTTACGTTTTACAAATCTCTGGCCAAATTAATAATAATAACAATAATAACAAAAAGAAAAAAAAAACCTAACGAAATTCTCATGACATTCGAATTATAAGTAATTGCTTTTTAAACGATTTTAAATTAGAATTTCTCGAACTTTAACTTCTTACTCTAACCGTATGCTAGTTTCGTTTTAAAGTCAACCGGTTGTAGAATTTTTCACAACGAAAATAAATCTCTATGGTCAATGTGAATTTAATATTAATAAGAGCTGGGCAACCGCCGGTCCGCGGGCTATGAGATAAGAAAATTAAAATTGGCCCGTTGATGAGACAAGTTGCCCACCCCTGACAAATAGACAGTAAAATTTATGTTTTTTAGTTTACGGAAACGCGGGAATTTTCTTCTCTCCAAGTTACTTACGCCTTTAGACGTCACGGGTCTAGAAGAATGGATGCTGTAGTCTTGATTGCTTTACATACTATAATTCCTATTGATTTACTTTGACTTTCGAATCAGTTCCGTTTCAAGTCATCTACGTGATTTTTATATAATATATTCTCTTATATACCTCCAGCTTATGATTTACATAAGCTTACATGCAGCCTATTAGTCTTATTCATAAAATGTCGGTGTGAATGGAATCGAATAATGCTCTTGTCATCCTGGATGAAGGAGCGATAGCTGGATTGGATTCTGAAGTTGAATTATACATTGCATATTATCCATCGAATCTTTCTCTCAAGATAAATACAACTTGCGCTTCATGCAATTAAAAATTTATTCGATTTAGTATTTTTTTATCTTTATTTTCTGTTAACGATTTGTATATTTCTTGATATCGAGCCTTATAGACCGAACGAAGTTGATTGTGAAAGTTGTTGTAAGATTTTTCTTAAAACCAATTGCAACTCATTCTATACCCAATTATTAGTGTAATAAACTGTTAGTTAATGGGACTACTAGTCTATGTTAATGGGAAACTAGTCTAGAAGCCAGTTTGAGTATCCTGTATAACGAAAATTTCTAGATATCCTTCTTTACGGTGAACGAACGAGGTAAATTGTATTAGTAATAAAGGGACGAAATTTTTCAAAACACTTAAGAACAGCAGCTTTTCAATTGTTTTTTCTTCTTACATTATTGTTAACAAGGGTTATGCTTTACTAACGTATATGCATCTTGATTATAATATTTATTGTTTTTTCATCCGTCTTCTCAATTCCGCAAATATTGCTCCTAAACGTGTTATAAGTATTTATACCCTATACCCCTTGTGTGATAGGGGCTATACTAAGTGTACTGGGATGTGTACATACGTTGAAAAGGACTTGAGGTAGAAGCATCTTATTTTTTATACCGTTTAGAAAGTAATTCTGAATCGTTCTAAATTTGCCTGTCCCTCTGCCCGTCTGGCCATAAGTCTTACTTTCTTCTGTCCAACTATTGGTCAGTTGGACAATTGGTGCACTAATGTGTTCTGCCCAAAGGGTGAATTCTCTTGAAAATGCTATTCGTGTTAGACCGCTTTTTCGACCACACCTTATCTGGGAAAATTGTTAGGTAAATAATTGTATAAAGGGTATTGGTATTTAATGGTGGGCCCCGACCGTCATTTTTCAAATAACTTTAACTTTATCGGAAAAATTCCATCATGCTTATACGATTTTGTTTCATTGTTTAAAAAAATGTTTGATTTTTTTGTTAATCTAATTCATTATTATTATTATTATTATTATTATAAATTTAGCGAAAGAATAAGTTTTAAGATTAAAGTCTTAAAGCACTAGCATCTAAGGCTATCTGCGGCTTCATTAAAAACTCTACCGCACTTGAGATTTGAACCCACGTACATTGAGTTGAAAGTCGAGACTTTTGCCTACTCGGCCAATCAGGCGGATTAATCTAATTCAAAATCGCGGTCCGTAAAAGTACGCCAGGCGAGGAGCGTCAAAGCAAATAAGCATTGATTTTCATGTCGGTTGAAGACAATCGAAGAAAAAAAGTTTCTTTATGCACTTTAAGATTCACCTAACTAATTCTCCTAAGTATTAATAACTTATTAATTATTGTTAAAATAAATTTTTATTGGTTAGAAGACTTGAAAAGAAAATTTGAAAAGTAATATGCCAGTGGCACACTACCATAGGGTTTATGATGAACTGTTTACTCATTAAAATATAGTTTGCAATTAACTGCCTGCGTATATCGTATTTACATAATTCCAGCAACCCTGTTATATATATAAATCGGTCGATATCAACGTCGAAAACTAGTAAGGTAAGGTGAAAAATTTAATATTAATTGTAAATTGTTTCTATCATTTTACGCAAACTGGATTTATTTAAGGCATGAGAGCAAATTAAATAAAATATTATAACAATGGAGACATAGACCAATCAACCAAGCAAATGACATTCATTTTTATTTTCAAATAGTTATCTCAGCAGACAACCAGAAGCATTAGAAAAATTTTAAAATATATATATGCAAGTGAACTTTTTGATTAACTCTTGACAACCATTGAAACACAAACTCTAATACATTTGTAAATATATGCTAAGCAAAGTCATAGAGATTTATTCATTCATACATATCAGTACACATTATGGTTTGCTTAACGACATCGTCTCTACCTCTAGCTTTTTATACATTCGTAGACAAGTGCATATACAATCGAGAACGAGAAGACGATGGCAGGATGTCTTATAAATGTTGCTTTAGTAACATACCATTCAATATTTCCCGGGACTGGCATATAAATGTCATCTCGGTATGTTATGATTAGAAAGTTTCATTCCTCAAACAACTTCAATCCAAATTTCATGTCATTTCAATCATGTGTCTACTAGAAAAATTCAGTGTTACATATGTTGATCAATCATTGCTTTTTAATGGGGAAATATTGCGCTCAATTTCAGCATTCAGTCGGAAAGTGTTACGGCAACTATTCTCCGTCATAAACAAAAATTCGTTCGCTCAATGTACTGATTTTAAACAAGGTCGTATGTGGATACCGATTCTTTTTCACTGTATTCTTTAGATCGGCTCTGCTTGTGCATTTCGAAGGAGAGATTGGAATCAAATAATGAGATTATTCCGAAAATCGAAACATCGTTCTATAAAAAAGGCATCGAAATGCTAGATAAATATTAAATTGATTTAAAAAAAAAAAAATAAAAATATTTTTCCTACTTAGTCCCGGTAGTTATTGACCAAGGTATTATGACTAAATATTAACTTTGATTTCAATCTGTATATGCATGGAGTAGATGTCATTATGATAACAAAATGCATTGAATTAAGCGTGCAATGAAAGAAACCTTACAGGAACGAGCAGTATGCAGGATGCTTACAGTGAAAGCAAAACCAATTCAATATCAATTTGTACGTTCGTTTGCGTTGAGAGGAATGGGATTATAGGAAATATGCTTTTTTTTCTTTGTTTTTTTTTTTATTTTTTTGCTTATTTGAAAATAAGTTTTGTTTCGGCTCTCAAAGAGCGAGGAGGAGTTAGTTTATTTTACAAAATGCTTAAAGGGCAAGAGCAACTTTTATGTGTTTTTGTCGAAAAATTGCCAGAGCTAAGACGAAAGGTAGAAGACCAATAATGGGGAAAATTCAAAGCATGCATTATTAAGGCCATTACAATATGCCATTAACAATATGCTGCCAAAAACGCTATGGAAATGATTCATAACATGAATCATTTTTGTCAATTGCTCAAAATTTTTAGAATTTTTGCAGAATTAAGCAATCGACTGCCAGCGATCCACTTTACCATTTCAATGTACGAATTCGTTGCATGCTTATGTATGTTTGTACATATTTCACTTTAACTTTCTCTTCCGCTCTTTCTTTCTTGATTTTCTTTTTTTCTTTTTTTTTTTTTCTCTTCCTTTCTCTATCGCTACGCCGACTTTCATTTTTTCTCCTTCCATCAAGAAATCCTTAGAATTATTATCAAATGTTTAATTCTAAGATCTCGTGTTTGCTTGTATGTATTGTATATCTATCTTGAAACCAGAAAATAGGGTAACAATTGCAAATTCTACTTACCATCTCTAATTGTTTAATGTAGTTGGAAGTGGTGTTAGCTGCTTGAATAAGAGGACGTCCTCTGTTAAAGACAGCGCATATCACCAAGCCCAATGAAAACATGTCACTAAGCAAACTGCATTTGGAATTCAGTTGTGTCTCAGGTGCTGCGTTAAATTCGTAAGTAAGAAAATGCAAAGAAACATAAAACCGTTACTGCGTTAAGTGCTAAAGCTCATAAAACCTGTCAAATATTTATACATATATAATATATTTACGTACGTATTTAAGCATATATACATATAGATATATATATATATTATTATATATATATATATATATTACATCTTTTTTTTGTGTTTACTTACCAATGAAATTTAAATTTGGTTGAGCCATTTTTGACAAACGGTTGCTCCATGGTTGGCATGGTATCGAATCATTTAAATCAGTCTCATTCATTCTTTCTATATAGGTTATAGGTTAATTAAATCATTACAATTAATCTTATATTTAAGCCGACTACACATCCTACCTATAAATTCTAATCCACTCAATTTCCAGGTACCACGCTTTGTCACCAGTATCGATGAAGGGCAAACGTTACGATGTATTACATGTCCAGAATAATGTAAATAGGATAGTGCCTCTACTAACTATTAAAATGGGAAGAAGCATAATATTGTAGTCAGTCCAAGACGACTTCGCCTAACATAATCATTTATCTATTATTATAATTTCGTCATAAAATATTTCCAAAAATATCCTCTTATTATATAAAGGCTTACATTCCATGAGAAGCCTTATCATGGGTAGAGGATCGAAAAGTTGAACCATATGCTTCAAAGTTAGCCGAGTACATTAAGATATCAGATCGAATATTTTGAAGCAATGTTCATCATGAAATACTAAAAATTGAACTTGACTGTCATATAATAACTAAATTTTTCATCAGATTTGAAGAGAATTGAAGAAATGGTTCCACTTTCATAGCATACATCATATTAAACATGAAATTCTAAATGTTTATGTTCTGCACTACTTGTGATTAAAGGGTATATTAAATTTGTATGGATGTGTGAAAGGTGGTAGTAGGATTGGTCCGATCCAATTCCATGTCAATATATTAAATCGTATCAAAATGTATCGAATTGGAAACCTGCACTTTAAATACAAGCCCACACGGACAGACATTACCGAAAGAAGACGAACATTCCGATGGGCCTAAGCTAATTTTGAAAATGATTCTAAATCGATGAGAGTCTTAAAAGTAAGTTTACACTGAGTGTTGTGTACAAATGTTACAAACTTAACGTACCCTTTTATCGCGAACGGTGCAGAAGTAAGAGAATAATGAATGAATTTTTGGTTTGCATTTAAATAATCACCTGTAAAAATCCATATTTCAATTCAATATCTAAAAATTGATAGTTCTTAGCGTGACTGGGCTTATGCGGCATTGGTACTGAATTTTGATTTAGAGGAGAATTACCAGAAGTAGTAGGAGGAGGTACGACATTTTCGTAAGTTTTTGATTCCTATAAAGAAAAGATAAAATACAAATTAATATGAAATGAGATTCATCCATATTCACTTGGAATTCCTTGCGGTCCATAGGAAAAGCACATCTCTCTAATAATATTTATATCAAATTTTCCCGTTGGCCGTTTGGATATTTTGTGTTAAGTGGGAATGCTTGTGTGTGATAACATCACCGAAGAATGCGGGGTAAGCACGTCTGTCTGTCTGTCTGTCTGTCTGTCTTTGCATAGCCATTTTAAATATTCTCATGGCAGCAAAAATGTAGTTATCGTCTGCAAGCTTGGCGGAACCATCGAAAGCTCGTTCAGATTAGTACTGAAAATGAGAAAACTCGGTCGAGGAACACGCCTACAGTACTACGTAAAATGAACATACCTATGCTTTTCAAAACTAATAAGAAATTAACTTTCTTATTCCATATGAACGTACAAGAGTTTGCACTTATATTCTACGGGTGATGATGGAGTACGTGCACGGAAGCGGGCAAAATTGGCTACGCCTATCCAATATTACAGTGTATCAACGTTTCATTTTTTTTCAATATCTTTATCAGGCGCGGAAGCAAGTTTCAAAAACTCCATAAAGTATAAATTTCTGTCCAGTTTCATATTGGGAATACATTTATGTCCGCCTGTTAGTCCGTTCAACTGTCCATCTGCATACGGTGTAGTATCCGCTGCTTCTGCCGTTAGCAAGATAAAAGATATCGCCTACAAATTTGCAAAATAGTTTGAAAATGGCTCAAGCAGGTGCAAGGACACGCCAAAAACCTAAACTGAAAAGATCTTTGCTTTCCGTATTTTTTACTCATTGGTCATAAATGACATAAATACAGAATATAAATTTCCCTAAAATTATTCTACAAGAATATCAAACAGCAGCCACCCCCACACAATAATATGAGGTGCGTAAATTCATTTTTTTTTTTTTTTTTGTTCAAACTGTTATAGGATAACAAGCCGTACAAAATGTCCATTCGTCCATACAAAACATACGAAACACATATACGAAGCGTACAAACATTATTGTGTGACACTATGAGACTAGCGTTTTTCTTAAAATACAAAAAAATATTTTCTATATATATATTTCCTTTAAGTTTCAAAAAAAAAATCTACTTATATATATATGCATATATAACACTATGACGATAAGTAAGACCAATATTCATGTTAAATTCCGCGGGTACATCGAATATCACAAGTTTTTTTTTCTTTCTAAATTGGCAGCACTTTGAAAGACATCTGTCTCCATTTTCACATTATAAGCGGCATTAGTTTCGTTCGATTATTGTACTGTCGTGGACTATGAATACCTTCCGCCAATATTATTTGCTTGAAACTATGCGCAAAAAGTGACCGAAATAAATTAAAAAAAGTAAAAATTAAATCGATCACACATTTTGCACACAATAGTATTTATATACATATGATTTACACGGTTAGACATGGAATATCACTAGAATTAGTCCGTCGTATGAAAACAGAGTTAAGTTGATATGGTTACTGTCGCCCGTTAGGAGACGGGAAGTGAGTTGAGAGGTTTACTCGGTGCTGGATTTCCTCTTTTTGTCTATTAAACAATGTCGACATCAATATTCCGGATCGGTCTTAACGACACTCTCTTTCTTTGATCGCCGCACGAATTATTGTAATGTTTAATTTGTTTAGCTTGCTATGTTGGCAGTGTTTGGGTGGAATTTTTTTCGTAACCAATATTAAATAAATAAAAGGAATTTCTTCTTGTATCATACGGTTACGCATCATCTGCATCCCGTTTAAAGAAGGATGGTGATGTTTGTTTAATACCACAAGAAGAGAGTGGTTTATTGTAAGGTGTGGAAAAGCTACCAAAAACATCATATTTTTTACATGATATCTTGAAAGATATGCGTACGGAATGCGGTTCGTGACACATTGAAAGCACTCAACTGTGAAGCAGTAACCCATGCAATTTACTCGCCAGACTTGCCTACTGTCGATTGCCATCACGTGTTTGCATCGACGAGATACTGGCAAGCACCTTGATTCCCACGAAAATATGCCTCGATGATTGATTCGCAGCCAATGGGGAAGATTTTTACTAGCATGCTATCGACACATTGCTCAACAGATACAAAAAATTTATAACTATCAATGCACCACATATCCCTATATATAGAGAGAAATCCGCATTTTTTGATTGAATATATATATATATACATTTACACTTATGCACATACACTCATATAACTAGCGATTGAGCGCGTATTGAGTAAACTACTTTTCATCATACTATGTCAAAAAAAAGTTCGTAATGGACGGTTGGTGAGTCGCTTAATTAACCCAATTAAAACCATATCGTAACGTATTTGATAGATGACAGTCTACAGATAATGCCAGATGAAACACTTCTCTAACGAATCGAGAAGAATTGAGAAAGCTTGGCTTGGGAAGCTTTGATGCATTCACCGTATAGCGTTGCCTTTGCCCTGCGTGATTACAATTTGTTTGGTTCTCCGCGGAAGTCTCTGTAAAGCTGACTTTAAAAAAGGTCTGTGAAAATCACTTGGCTTACCCTTTTCGCCCTCGAGTTCTGCAATCATCAGATAATAGTTTTAACAGAATATTACATATCGGTTCAATAAATTTCGTTTTAAAAATTGAAAATAGTTTAGGAGAACTAAATGCTGGTAAAAAACGTCATGAAATTTTTCATTTAATGTGGATGCTACTTGGTTACGATGTAAGGGTATTTATGAACTATTTTACCGACCTACTAATTAGTGTCCTTTTTTTTAAAATTCTCATTAACGTTTTCAAGCTAGTCCTCATGAGTTTTAGAAACTGCTAAACAAGACCAAAGCAAATATTTAAACGCATTTCATTTTATGGAAGTAACATCATCATGGCCGGTTGAATATTGATAACATTCACAAAAGTTTCTAATCATTTAATCCGTTTGGTTGTACATTTCACATTACATTCCCTATCTACCCTAATCCAGCAATTAATGAAATTGCGAAAACTTACCTAAGAACGTTACTTACAGCATTTTCCCTAAGAGTTCACTACAACTTATCATCGTTAACGGAACGATGCGTAAAGATATCTCATACCAACACCTACTGAGCTAATATAGATGCTTATAGTCAAGTCGATACCTATCTAAATATCTTTGGGACGTAGTTCAGGTTATTTAAGAGTGAATTAATGTAAAAAATCCACCGATAAAGACCTACGTCCGATAAGCATTTATAATGAATACATTTTTTAACAAGATCTCCGTGGATTCGAAAGATAAAATTTAATAGCATACAATTAGTCATCAATGCGTGCTGAACGGTGGCGCTGACATTAACAAGACGGGTAAGGATTGATTGTTTAAGCAGTTTGGGTATAGCGACATAACATGTTACTAACTAATTTAAGGGATAACATTTCTGTAACAGGCTGAAAAAAGACATATGTTTGGCCATGCTTTTTAGAATGGAATGAAAATTAGTCGAATGATAATATGCGTGGACAATTTGAAGGAAAATTGTGTGCCAAATTTCATTATACCGTATATCATTTATGGTATAGAGTATATTAAGTTAATGCGCACGTATGTAACATCCAGAAGCGCTTAGGATACACCCACCTTTTATTATACCGATCAATTCAGAATGATTTTCTAAATCGATGTAAGTCTGTGTGTCTGTCTGTCCGTCTCATGTCTATCCGTGTATTTTTATGTTCAAGCTGCAGGACGCAAATGATGAAATTTGATACATTGATGTGTTTTGACCCAAGAACGAACGCTATTGAAAATGGTTCGGGCCGGTCCGGTTGTTCGACCACGCCCCATCTTATGGCCTATTCTGGAAAGACGTTATATGAAAAAAGATTGTAATTTTCAAAATTTCTCGGCAAAAGTGGCTAAGTAATAGTATTTTGGCATTTTGAGTTGCTATGAGCATTTGGACCGGCTGTAAGAATATTTTAAACCCCCTATCATATAACCCTTTCTTCGTAAACGAAACCTTTAGATGGTAAAGAGGTTGAATTTCCAATATTTTACGGTGGAAATTGACTCAAAATAGTAAATACACAAAGAAGTCTATCTTATCGAATTTGGACTAGGCAGGTCTATATCACCGCATATAAGTATTTTCATGAAATCTAAACCCTTATCTACCAAAAAAGCCTAATTGTTAATTTTTTTGTGATGAGAAGTTGTTCACGATAGTAATTAAATAAAAAAATTAAATAGACCTAATTTGAATCACATGGGTCTATCTATATCTTCGCCTCACTCTGTATAAGATATCTCATGTTATCTTAATAATCCATAGTAGCGTTTCACCAAAAAAAATTAACGGTAGAGAATTTAAATCACATAAGTCTATTTGTTTTTGCACCGCAACTTGTATAGGCGCTATCATGATTCACAAACTCGTATATGAAAAGAAAATCTATCCTTCGAATATGCGGGCTTTCATAAAAATTATGGCTTTGTATGTAAATAATGTGTACTTTTTGATGTATTATTACTAAAACAAGCGAGTAACTTTATTAAGCGAGGTAGTGTAGGGTATATAACACTCAGCGTCACCCGCCTATAATGTTCTTACTTATTTTTTGATACTAGTGTTTGTGAAACAGACAATATTTATATAACCCAATAATTTGATACTAAAGTATAAGCTGAACAAGTCAAAGATTGATCTGAGGACGGACCTCACTCGCTTTATAGGCCTTGTCACTTCATGTTCTATTTTATTTAGCAAATCTAAGTTAATTGTATTCAATCTTTATTTAACATGTTTTGTGTCATACAATAACTCTCCTATCTGGTACATATATGGCATAACAATTGACAGATCCATACGACTTCTCTAGCAATCTTTAAAAGATATGTGTCAATATATCATGACATTCTGATCGTTAGTTTACAAATTATTGTTATTTTAGTCACATAAATTATTTTAGTCGCTTTGGACAGCTTTCGTCGGTTGCTGTTCACTACGCTGCCTGCCGATTTGACTCGGAAGTATACTGATGAAAGCATTTTTCACCCATTGTCACATATCGTATGAAACAATCATTTTTATTTTGCTCTACACAATTTTCTTCCATATGCCTTTAATATATTCGCTTCGTCTGTGTTTATCTACACATTATATTATAATGATAAGTTCGTCTTGTTTTGAATTCTACTTCGACTTAATAAAATACGAACGTACACACTCAATTAAGGACGCAAGAAAAGAAATAATTGAATAAAAAATACAAAAAACAACTGCTCTTCGTTTAGGCGAGAAGAGCACATTTATTGCATATTAGTTGTGTATGGCAGGTGTTATTCGCTAACAATAACAATTTAATAAAAACAATTAAAAAATAATCCGATATATATATTAAGAGGCAAACTGCTCGTAATATCTTTAATATCAAAAAATACTCGCAGTCAGAGCTATAAAATACGCCCAGTCATTCTATGCATACGTGGATATAAAATTGAATTTTCCTTAAAACAGAAAATTAATTTAAGCGGACGCAATAATTTCTTTTTTATGCATTGCAGCGAAACCATTTTCTTCTCTTTTTTTTTTTTTAATGCTTGAACAACAAACCAATTAATGTGCGCTATCCATGTAGATACGGTAAGGGTCAGGAAGGATAGTGAATTGAGGCGGGATGAGAAACGATAAAATGTTTGTAACACGCCTAAGAAATAGCCCGGAAACAGATGGGGAAGATCCCCGTATTCCGATTTCGGATATGGAAGCCGTGAAATAAAAGTTTCTCTTCGAATGAAGGCCTTATCTTTCTAAAGACAAATTTCACTTTTCATTTTTTTGTTTAGAGACAAAGTTCTATTTATAATCATCAAAAATCGTAAAACCATTTTTTTTTTAAGGCAAAATTAAATGCAATCGCGTAAGGGAGTCGCATTTGCCACTATCGGCTATACTCGTATGTATTCGTTATGGGCATCAATATTGTAAATTCTTTGGCTAAGTTTGTCTAATTGTTTGTGTGCCTATCTCTACCGGCCTAAATTCTCTTCTCTTCTCCTTAGGCCATGACTTGAACATTTTTTAAGCAATTGATTTAATTATCTTAGGTATGAATATTTCTCTGTCAAGTTCAGTGGGAATCAAATAACTTAAGCGAAATTATCGGAAACTTTTCCAATGTGCATTATAGTATGGACTATTTCCTACATATATATATATATATATATATATCGATTTCCGTATGAGATACTATGCATGGTATATACAATGTAATAAAAAATATGTGAAGCTTTGCTTCATTCTGCAATCAAATATGCAACAATGTATATGTGCACTAAATGGGAATGGATATTAAAGCTTTCGACCTGTTGCTTTCTTCCTTATCTTGCTTCTTGTTTGCTTTTTTTAAATATTTACTTGCAATATATCCGCTTAAAGATACCGAGAAACTCTTGTAAATATATATTAAATTTACCGGAGATTATTTTTCTCAATACAAATGCGTATTATTGCTATAAAAATTTCTTCTTTTTTTTTTTTTTTTTTTTTTTTGATTCCACTTATAAATAAATATCTCTAGTAAAAATGGAAAGATTATTTAAGATTGAGATCTTTACATGATAATAAAATCACAGTTCAAGAATAATCAAAATTTTTTTAAAACCTTTTAGAATTGACGGTTTCCTGAAATACAATAACCTTTTTTGTGACTGATATTGATCAGCAATGAGAAAGAAACATAATTTGAATCAAATTTTTAATAGCTACCTCGATGTATAATTCTATATTCGAAAGAGAGGGGGAAGTTAGGGTCTTTCTAATTTCGTATCATAAATCGTAGGATATGCATGACCGTATGCGTTGTATATCGTTTATATATTAAATCAAATTCTTTTACAATTTGTCACAATCTCTTAGGTATTTATGTCCACTAATAATAAAGCGGCTATTTTCAGCTCGAGTTAAACGTTTTAGTTCCCACCTAGATGAGGACACATAAGTCTGATATATTGGGTAAAGTAAAGTAAAAAATTTCATTGCGTTCTTCCTTTTACAGTTACGTAACTTTGGTAATATTAAGCTGGTGAGAATTCCTATCTGCGAATCTCTGAATTTGAACCCGTTTTGAAGGGACTGATGCAAGGTGTTGCAAGCTAAACCATATGCAATAACAACGCATGCAAAAAAAAGATGGTACTCCAAAATGGACCAAGCTACATACAGAATGGATAAAGCCTACGTAAGGTAATACTTATGATGACATTAAAAGGAAATTGCGCCTTACCTGGCCAGACGATCTATTCTATTCTATATTATTAACAAATAATGCGATTACAACGTGCCATTAAGGTAAAGCGTTCGGAATTGATTAATAGGAAACGTGGTGCTTTCCGTCAATGTGAGATTTTGACCATTTTCAATAATTTGGCAAAAATTAAAAGAGTTTGACTGCAAAGTTATGATGCATGAATCGTATAGTTCGGACTTTCCATCTGCCGACTATTATTTGCTCTCTGCCGAAATCGTTTAAAGATGCAAAGGTGACTTTAAAATAGGCCCTAGAAAATCATTTAGGTTAGAGTTTCATCCAGAAATTTATGAAGTTCTACAGTCCCAAAAATGGTAAAAATAGGTAGGTAGATAGATAGATAATAGCTATTGAGAACAGTATAGTCGGGCAAGACCAGCTATTAGATACCTCTACACCATTTCGCCTAATACAGTTATTCATTCGTTTTGGTAAAGTTACACATTATTTTGCATGCAAATGGACACTTTTCGTAAAAGCCGGCATGTCCTTGATATTCCAAAAATAGATCTACTTGATCCAAATTCAGTAAGATTGATTTCTATGTCAATTTACTGTTATGAACTAATTTTCTCCCGGAAATATTAAAATTTATACCTTGTCACCATATAAAGATTCAGTTTTCGTAAGAACGGTTTTGTATGAGAGAGGGTTCAAAAAATTGCCCCAGTCGAACCAATTTTTTCGTATCGATTTAGAACATCCAAATTGTATTGCAGAGCGAGATTGGTCGAGAAATTTTAAAAATTGTTTTCTTTTTTTTATGTAATGAGATTTCAAAGTAGAGCGTTATATGGGGAATGGTCAAAAAAGTGGACCGATCTAAACCATTCATTCAATACCGTTCATCTTTGGATCAAAGCACAAATTTCATTAAAATACCTTGAAAATTGCGACGTGAAACTTGAACACGAATTTATAAGGACGTACGTTAGACGGACAGACAAGTTTAGAACGATTTAAAAAGTGATTCTGAATCAATCGGTATAATAAAAGGAGAATCTTTCTATTACGTACGTCCACATAAACTTAATATACCTTATATATTGCAAGTGGTGTAAGGTGTAAAAAGAAAAATTGAGTGTAAAAATGACGAAAAATTGCTGATATTTTTCCACACCTTTTGCATTCCCTAAGCTTACACTTTACACCTAGAGAAACTCGTTCTAAAGTTTTTTTTTTTTTTTTTTTTTTTGTTATTATTAGCAACCTATTTAATTAAAGTTCTCTTTTTTCTTTCTGTTTTGCAATCTCTCTCTCTCTCTCCTTCGCCCGTGGCTCTTTCTATTCTTAATCCTCAAGCCGACTCAACAGCATGTTGAACCTTAGCAAGTGGACCCAATAGCCATTACAAGCCTAGGAGACGGATGATTAAAACAAATTACAATTTTCCACTAGTTTGGAAATGGGCTCATTTGTGCCCTGGTCACAATCGTTCTCAACAACTGCTAATTAGCGAAAATGTGCTTTCATACCAAGGACAAAAAAAAGATTAATTCGAATATACTTCCATTAATAAAGTCTGTAAAGAGGAGTTCCGACTAAGCTAAAAAAAAATTTGGCATTACGCAATGACCATCCAACGAGTCTAGTAACTACAAAGTTAAGTTAATGTTAAGATATACAAATACATACAAAATATTGTATAATATATATGGCGAAAATACTATATGAGACTTGAATATGAAACTTACATGAAAGGCCAAAATATTAGCAAGACTTGCATAAATTGGTTCCGCCGCGAAGGCCAAAGTTTCAGCGGACTCTTCGACAGTGTGTAGTATTTGTAAAATCTGAAAATAAACCAACAAGGAAAAATTACGTTCTTACGCAAGTGGATGGGGGTCCTCGATTGCATATTTTACTTAAATCGTTTTCTTTTCGAATCAACGTATTTTCCCAATCAGAACAATTGCCCATGCAAAACAGTGCTACCTAATCAAGTGAATATGGCCAAACGCTTAAATGAGTTCCACTCATTTTTATGTACAAAGTCGATGTCGCCAATTCTTTTCATGTACATTAAGCCCTCACATTTGCCAGTTCTGTTTACAGTCATGTCCGGTTCGTTTTCGCGAATGTACAAAAAAACATTTTCATGCTTTGAATGCTTTTTTTAGGCAAAGACCCTCTTTAATGGGTAGGAATTTCTTCTTTTTTTTTTTACTTTAATTTCGTTTTTATATTTAATAAATGCGTTCGTCACCTTTTCTTTACATTATTTCTCATATTTAATTATAAATGAATAAAAAATTTTTTATTTTAATTATTTATTATTAAAAAAAAAAAAAAGCAAAGGAAAAGAAAGCAAACTATTAACCTACCTTAGGATGACGAAATCTTTCTAAGGTTTTAACCGATGTTTTTAACAGTTCCGTTACAGTTTCTTTACGTCGTGGCTTATGCAACTTTTCCGCAATCCTTTTCTCAAATATAAAAATCGAACATTCCTATTGATAGTGAATAAATAATAAGACATTGTTAGGGATTTTGTTTTGTTTCCATTGCCGCATACAAGACAACCTACCTTACCATCACTTTTTCGAAAAGCTTCGTGTATCTTCCATACTAATTCTGGGCCGGCGCAAGCAATTTGTTTACCAATATCAAAGTACTGCTTAATGGGATTGGTGTCAGCTACATTTGGTGCGGCAGATGGTATATTGGCGCTTTTAAATTTGGAAAACATTGTACCGGCAGGCATACCATCAATTAACTTGGCAAACACATTGGAAAAACTGCCTTGACGTTTAGGTCCGACAGCGATCCCACCACCACCACCACCACCAACACCACCACCACCGCTACCACTGCCAATGTTAATTGCGGCACTACTAGACGCACCCGTTAAATTATTGCCACCTATGATAATATTAGTCGGGTTAATGCTGCCACTACTAACGCCGACATTGCCGCTAAAATCATTGAAACCGGGTTGTGCTTGTGAATTTAAAAAAATACGTGTTTGCATAGGTATTGTTGTTGTTGTTGTTGTTGTTTTTGTTGTTGTTCTTGTTGTTATTTTTGTTGTTGTTAATGTGGTAATATTCGCTAAAGTATCAACGCTATTAATAACACCATCGCTTGATATTTCCACATCCTCTACTATGCGCACCGAGTTATCCGAGAATCCATTCACTGCTTGCGTCGCTGCACAATTGTACAGAAAAGTACAGATATAAATATTAAATACTGCCTCTCGAAAAGTAAGACGAATCAGAATTATAATAATTTTTCTTATTTTTTAATGCGTTAACCTATAAAATAGTGCGTCTTTCCTACACGCTATTTAATAGCTGCTATTATCTCAAAAGAATTACAAAAAAGCGTTCAGTTTTTTGTGACTTATGGCTATGGAGGTCTATGAAGGTGCATTTTTCACGAACAGTCCAATGCAAGGGGCTCCTACTTAATTTAAAATTATTATTATTATTAATATTATTAGATAATATTCGATTCGATAACTGTTCGATCCTGTGATAGGAAATTCTTGTCAACAACGTTAACATAATTATGGTTTTTAATTAGCCTAAGCGGTTTCTTCGGTTTCGAGCCATCTTTAACAAAATGTTCTTCCTACTCGTTAAACTGCTTCTGAATTGTAAGCATAAATTTGTATCTCATCGCTAAGGATCATGCAGGATTTCTGATCATCATCACCCATATACAGTACCTCTTTAGCCGCTTTAACCTGAAGTTGTTTTTTGAAAAATGCAGTTCTTTTGGAAGGACCAGGTGCTAAAAAACGAAGCAACTACGAATCGTTCTACTCAAGTAACATCTCGAATATTTAACTAACGATAGCTGAACAAGCAATCGACCATTTTATTGCTAACTTTATAAGTGATTGAACTTGAGATCGAATTTTATTCATCTATTCTCGATCTTTAAAGCCCTTGCGTTACATTAAAACGTTTGACTATAGAATTATCTCATCACCATATCATTTTCTTAACCATTATCAATTGAATCAAATGAGTGAACTTCGTTCAATAAATTAATTCATTTTGAAAACTCATTGACAATCATTGCCAACAATTACAAAAGAAACTCTAATTTAGAAACCAACAAAGCGAATGAAATATGATATCATTTCTAAATGTCATATGTTAATGACATATGTACCAATCGGACATAAAAATAGTTGCAATATTTGAATTTGTTTTGGAAAATGAAAACTCCCCTTAATTTTTTCATCACAATAGCATTTTACATGCATGTTAATTGAGAAGCTCACATTACGCACCATCAACAAATTAAGGAATATAATTACTAAACCCGACGGAAAAATTAAAATGTTATGGGTACCAAGTCACATCGGTTTATTGGGAAATGAGGAGGCTGATCGAGCGGCAAAGTATGCTGCTTCTGCTCCTCTATTTATGGATGATGTCATGGAAAAGTTGGATCTTCAAAGATACATTGGGAGAAAAGTTAAAGTGAAAATTGCAAAAGGAAATTTACAATATCATCATCAACACTACTCTTCCATTAACTCTCGATTAATTCCGCCTTTTTATTCAACAAACGTTGAGAAAACCAAGATCCAAACATTTTCGAGAATTCGCCTTGGTCATACTATCGCAACTCACCAATGGATCTTGAAGAAGTCTCCCTCCCCAATCTGCAATTGTGGACAAACTCTAACTATAAAGCACATCCTCTGCGACTACCTTAAGTTTTCCTTGGCTAGAAGTATTGCATTTGGAGCGACTAACCCTTTGGACATTCTAAAATCATCTTCAGAATCGAATATCAATTCTATATATTACTTTATTAATACTACTAAACTCATTATCTAATGTACATTTATTTATATTAGAGCCGATGCTGTTAGCCTGTGCTGTTAGTGCTCAATGTCTTTTTTTTTTTTAGTCTAAGAATTTATTTCATTAGTCTAAAATTATAATAATAATAATAATAATAATAAGCTCACATTACGACCTTGAAGTTTAAAACTTTTAATTGAGATTTTTGATTACCCAAATATAACACAGATACAAGTAATTTTCCTATTAAAAAAAGGAATAAAAAGAAAGGTATATAATACCTTATATAATTATTTAATATAAATGCTTGAATGGCGAAAAAAAAATTCAAGCTGTATCTAATCTAACCGATATCTTATTAATTCTACCCGCAATATTAACGGTTGCTCTGCTCTTATTCCGTTGACAATAATGAAATAAAACCGATTTGAAGGCTATTTCTGTACTTAATCCCAAAATCCAAAAATTTCTCCCTAACACTGTTTTCATTCAATTTCATCGCATTTCCACTGCGATTAAGTGAATTGTTTCATGCTAATACTTAATCTTCTCCGTACCTTGTTGTTGAAATATTCTATTTGTTGAGAAACCTCTGATCTCCGAATTCAATTTTGCTGATTTTACTGTTGCCAAATTCTGCTTAGGCGTGAGAGATGCGGTTGTTGGCTTTTTTAAATGTTTTTGCAATAGTTCAGCATTGTTTTGTTGTTCTTTTTGTTGTTGACATTGATGTGCTGTTGATGTTGCTCTTGCTGTATTATATTGTTGCAATTGCTGCGTCCTTGTTTCAACTTGAGCTTGTACATGAGGTGGTCGATGTTGATACAAAATATGCTCTTTTAATTTCTTCCAATGCAGCGCTATTTTGAAAAAGTTCCTTTGTCAATTTATGGTCAGAAAATTGATTTGCTTTGCCAAACGAATTTGTATAGCAAGAGAACACAATCTCAACAATCCGCTTAGATAACTGCTTTCGACTTTTAAGTATTGCGACTATTAATGAGATATTGTTTGTTGTTGCTTATTATTTCCCTCAACGTTTAGTTCATTCAGTAAAAGATTTAATTGCATATGCACTTATAAATTTAACTCAGCTTAGTTTCCTTTGTCTGAATTCATTTTAGTTATTTCTAATTTTAGCAAAAACTTTATGCAGCATAATCACGCATAATGCCGTCTGTTGTATATATCTAAGCCAGATAACTATTTCCAACTATTTGTAATTGGGCTGAAAGAAAAATTTAATTAAAAACATATTTCATATTCAAGTTAAAGTGGGATTCAAACTCGTAACTAACTGTTCTTCCATAAGGAGGCTTCGATTTAAAACAACAACAATTTTTAATTATAATATTCATTCTAAGTGCATATTGTGATGATTATGCAGAGAATACATATTCAATTAAATGGCCTTCCGGCCATCAATGTATACGTGTTAAAGGTTTTTGTATACAAAACCTCTAACAGGTGCTATGACATACAAATAAATTCTGTCTGTTTAATTTTTCTTTTTATGTAATAAGTCAGGGATATATCTCTCATATACATTGCAGTGGATTTAGATAAAGAGAGTACTGTAATTTAAAATACTGTAAACTTCGCAACACTTTCTACATTACGTTATGACTTGCAATTCGTCCATCTGCCTATAATTGAAACAAACTAAACAAATATTGTTAAGTGCTAGCCAGTACGAGCAGTGTACCAGACAGCAATAAATACATGTTGATAATAGTACGACTGGTTTAACAAACAGATATATTTTCATGGTGATTGACGATTTTTTGCCAAATACGGCAGATTCACGACGAAAGGCAAATGAAATTTGCAGCGTTGCAAAATGCAAATACTAGACCCATACATGATAAGGAAAGACCCATACATGATATTTGCGGAATGCAGCCAACATCACGTGAAAGAATGGATTGATGTCCAGAACAAAACAGAAACTTCGACATCAACATTAAAGACCAATACAACTGACATGTAAAATATGTAGTTGCCGTGAGCCGAACCCGTACCCCGAAGACGCGCGGAAGTTCGACACTACGTAAGTATAAATCTCAAAATTCCCTTTAGGCAAAGAAAGATGACTAAAATTTTTTCAACGCATTATGCAATAGATATGGATATTGAAAAGTATTTTTGATGACTAACGAAGGGAGAGAAACATCTGAGGTTGCGGATCCGTTAACAACCAAGATTATCGAGAAAGAAAGTTACATTGTCACTGCGTAGTTTTTAATACGGCCGGCTTTACACGCAGCAATAATTGCCATTGGCAAAGTGAGGATGACTTCAAAGATAATAATAATCGATTCCCCCGATGCCTGTCAAAGCTGGTAAGAGTACGAATGCTTATGCGAATAATTACTCTGGCCAGACATACAGGACGTACAGCTAACTTAAAATGGCAGCGGACAAATAGTTGATAGGAGTAATTATATATATTCTATATATATCCTTACAATAATATATATTATCTATTATATATATAATTGTTGATTGGGTGCTAGAAATGCATGAACAAGATCATAATTTTTAAACCCAATTTTGCTGAAGGACTAGAGATTTCTTTCTATCTGTACGGCTACATAAACGCGCTTTACGCTCCAGAGAACTAGTCGAATCAGCTCGCCAATTGCAACGATTGAATAAATTGATGTGATTTTTGCGCTGGCGTTAGAATTGGTTCACTGTTTTTTAAAAATGCTGCTGATTCGAGCATTACAGACGATGGATTGTGTGTTCTTCTGTTAATGTGTTTACTATACTGAAACATTGCTCTCCGCGGACAACAAACAATATCCTCTATTCCCGAAGAAAGCCCCATGAAAATTTTTTCAGAAGATCGAAATTTTGATTGCCTCAATGGATGCTTTAAGCTTTCTAGAATACGAAAAAAAAAGTTGCATTATCTGAAAGAAATTTTTTTCTTGATATCAAGAGATTTATCTCAAACTATCCGTAAAACAAGTATTAAAAGCGTCAGAAGAGTTCCTATTGGAACTAGCATGAATAGCCGAGTAGAAGGCAAGAATCGCGACTATCAAGTTAGTTTTCGTGGCGTAGAATGTCCGTGCGGTCGAGCTTACTTTGGTAGTAGCACCAGTGAGATTTCAGTTGGTAAAGATATATAACACTTATCCATTTAGGCTGCTGCGACCACCGCTTCTCCATTTTTTCCTTTCTCTTTGGGACCGCGTTACGCGTATTGGGCGATGTCCCCTAAGTGAGTAATAACATTTCCAAATGAAAGCACGTTTGTGTAACATCATCGGGTGTAGCTTTCGGGCGCGATTCGAAATGAGTTAACG